CTGTTTCCCGGGAAGGCGCCGGCCGCCGTCGGAGGCCCTGTTTCCCGGGAAGGCGCCGGCCGCCATTAGAGGCCCAGTTTCCCAGAAAGGCGCTGGCCCCTCCGGGACTCACCGCTCCCCGGGGTCCCTCTGCCCTGTGCGCGGGGCGCTCCTTCCCCTCTCTGCTCCGGGTGTGGGGTCCCCGCTTTTAGAGCCTGGTCTGCACTCCCGAGGGGAGGGAGCCCTGCAGCCTCCAGGCCTCGGGCTCGGAGCCCAGCGCAGGCTTCAGGGGGGATGCCCTTCCTGCGCCCCCTCCTCTTACCGGACTCCGTGATGTTTCCTCAGTGCTCCCACTCGTGCTCCGTCCACTCAGGTGTGTTTCTCTGGGTTTTCTAAGAGGGCTACGGAGGATTTTAGGAGGAAATCGAGTCTGTGGCTGGGAGCGGGGGTGCTGCTTCTCACAGGGCCGCCAGCTTCCCTCCTCTTTCATTTCTGATATCAGTAATTTGTGTCTTTTTTCTTGGTTAGCCTGGCTGAGGGTTATTAATTTTCTTAATCTTTGCAAAGAACCAGCTTTTGGTTTTGTTATTTCTTTTTTTCTGCTTACTTTGGATTTAATTTTCTCTTCTGCATACCACAACTTTTGATGTTATATTTTCTTTTTTTTTTTTAGCTCAAAATATTTTTTTTATTTCTCTTGAGATTTTCCTTTGACCCATGTGCTATTTATAAGTGTGTTGTTTAATTTCAAAATATTTGGGAAGTTTACCAGCTATTTTTCTATTATTGAATTATGAGAGTGAAAATCCTTGCCTGCTTCTTGATCTGAGGGAAAAAGTATTCCATCTTCTACCATTAAGTAAAATGGGTTGTTTGTTGTATGTTTTGTAAACCGCTTTATTGTAGTATGATTGACATGTAAAAAGCTGTGTATATTTAATGCATACAAAAGTATAATGTTAGCGTAGCTTTTTCACAGTTGCCCTTTATCAGACTGAGGAGGTTCCCTTCTATTTCTAGACTGTGTAGAGGTTTTTAACATGAATGATATTGAATTTGGTCAAATGCTTTTCCTGTGCCAATTGATGTTATCATGTGATATTCCTTGTTTAGACTGTTAATATGGTGTATAACATTGTTTGCTTTTCAAGTATGAAACCAGCCTTGCATTCCCACAACAATCCCCACTTAGACATGGTGTATTATTCTTTTTATCTATTACATGGAAGTCATGTACATTTTTTTTATTCTTTTAAAAAAATTTAGATTTTGGTTACTTAAAAATGTTGGGTTGATGTAGCATGTTAGTAATTAATGAAGCTATATTCATGGAGTTATACGTAGCCTCAGCAGCCCTGAAAGAAACATTTTTGAGTAAATTTGCAATGTCATGATGCAAGAATTCATACTGATTTGAAATATCGAAGGGGGAGGAAGCAGCAACATGCAAGGTTTTGACTGACTGTGCGACCTTGCTAAAGGGTCCCTAGAAAAGAAAAAGCAGAGAAGGAAATTAATGTTTGGGCACTTTTTAAAAAATGACATTTCATTCTTTTAAAATAATCTATTTTTAAATAATTTCAAGCTCACAAAAAAGTAGCTAAAACTATACAGAGAACTCCCATGTCTCCACTCACCCACATTCTCCAGTTGCCAATATTTCTCGGCATTTGTGGAACACCTTTCAGAGTTCCTGTGATAGTGTCTATAACCAGTGCTAACAATTGACTCCCTATCTGCATTGCGTTATACACGAGGCATCAGGTTAACCACTGTACTTACCTCACTTTCACAGTCACCCTCCAAGTTTTCATTATTACCCTTTGTCACAGGTGATACTGCTGAGACTTCAAAAAATTCAGTAAACATGCTCAAGGCTTCACTGGCTAAATAGAAGATTCAGATGCAGACCCAACTCCAAAGCTTGTACTTGTTCCCGTATCCACACCATAGGCCCAGTTCTAAGTTCAGGTACATGTCACTGGCATCTACTTGGTCATTTGACCCTTCCCTCAATCTTTTTCATTTCAGGACCCCTCTTTTTACTGAATGCTGAGGAAATTGCGGAGGAAATAGGGAACATGTGGAGGACAATATATAAACTCACCAAGACCTTAACTGACTTGCCTGCACCCAGGCGCTTGGCAGAGAATGTGAAAATGAAGATTGATAAGTTCAAGCAGCACATCCCTATTCTCAACATTTCCTGCAACCCGGGAATGAAAGACCGGCACTGGCAACAGGTCCCTGTCACTCCCCCCCTGCCCCCCAGCCCATACTTGGTCCTGGTAGCCCCTTGGAAGGCAGGAACCATTGCTAGGTCAGGCTTCTTTCTGAAAGGAGGACCTACTTGAAGCCAAGGGGGTAGTAGTGGGGGCAGTGGCCTTTTGACATAAGGGAATGGGCAGGATAAGGGATGCTTGCCTTTCCACATGAGCAGGTCCCCCTTTTCTTTGGGGACCCCATTGCTGGTGGTTGAGTACTGTTCTAGCCTGTGGAGACAAAGACTCTCCTATCTGCTTTCTTAGCAAATAGCGGCTCCAGGCTGTAAAGGGCGACAAGGGTACTGAATTACAGTGGGAAGGGCCTTGGTTTGTTCCTTGAGCCTGGCTATGCACGAAAGTTGCCTCTTTTCCTGGGGCCTCCAAACAATGCCTGTGATCTCCTGCTGAGGCTGACTGCTGTGGAGTTTCATCATCCAACAGGCTATGTTCAGAAATAGTTTCCCACTCTTCTTTCAGCCCTTTGAGTCTATAAATGAGAATAATAAATATCTTCCCTAAAAATAGTTGGGATTTTTATAAGCAACCAAGTGTGAGGGTGATAAGTGTGGTGTGAACACTAACCAGAGAGTAGAAAAATTCACTGTTTCTGTAATACTTATCACATTCAGGGGCCAGCAATGGCCTTGAAACCGCCTCGAGCAGGAGTTGCTCTGGGTGGAGATGGAGATTCCTCTCTGACCTGGCCTGGAATTCCCTCTCTCAGAACCACGCACAAGGCTGAGGACATTGTCTTTAGAAGAACCCAATCTGAGGGCACACCCGTGACTTTCCAGAGAATGGTGCCCGAGCGCAGTTGCTAGGAGCATTTTGATCTCCCCAGGGAAACGGAGATCTCAGTGCATGAGTTTTCTGTGGAGGGGAGCTGCTTTCAATTTCCCAGGGAGACTTGAAGCTCAAGACTACTAAGGCAGGGCTGTAAAGAAGGGCAGAGGAGGGGTCGTCTGCGTAGATTTCTGGCCTTGAGCTGCCCCAGCAGACCCTCCCTTGTGCTCAGAGGGTGCCTCTCCCTGTGGACCCAGCCTGACTAGAATTTCGACCATTTGGAGGGTGGGGAGGTTGAGCAGGGCTCTGTCTCTTCGTGAGACGGGATAGAAAGTGCTGTCGTCGATGGTGGTTAACACTCCAGGGGGCTTGGAAAGCCACCCCTCCGCCTGGTGCTCCGCCTATGCTGCTGCTGCTCTCGGCTAACCATTCCCAGACAGTCATAATTCTCACGCATAGACCACTCAGATGGGCAGGCTGGGGAACATGTTCCTTAGAATTAAAATAGCTCAATATGGCTAAGACTTATCGCATACCCACCATGTACTGGGTCCTGTGTTGCATGTGTCATGTGGACTCTCTCATCTCATCCTCCCAGCAACCCTTTGGCTTAGGGACTATGCTTATCTCCATTTCACAGATAAGAAAACTGAGTCTTAGAGGGATTAAGTTGCCCTGTTGCTAGTATGTGAGGGAGAGAACTGGAATGTGGGTCTGTGACTCAGCCCAGACAGATGAAAAGAGAGCAAGAAATAGCAGATGAGAGGGAGTGGAAGCCGGGGGGCAGTGAGCCGTAGGCGACAGTGACGTGCAGCCAGGGAAGTGGCTGCAGAGGAATGAGCCCCTGACTGGGAAGCCCAGTGGGCAAGCTCCGAAAGGACACAGGCCACCAGATACACTCAGGGCCACCGCCACGCCAAGCCCCTTCCAGCCTGCATTGTAGGTCACACCGTGAGCCACCCCATGACAGCCCCAGGCCCGGGGAACCCTTCTCCATCCTCATGCCTGACTCGGAGACCCACCTGCACGGGCTCTGGTCCTGGCAGGGGAAGGCTAAACCCCCTGTAGCTCTCGGGGAGGGGGTGTGAGTGGGGTGCATGTGAGGCTTCTGACCATTCCACAGGACTCAGGCAGGAAAGGCTGGTTCCTGGGTTTCGGTCGCAAACTTTACTCCTATCAGGACAGAGGTTGCTTCTACAGGTTAAAACAAGATGGAGCAGGTCACATTTGACCTTAGGAAGAAACCGCACTGATGAGCAACAGAGCTGGCCCTCTGGGACAGTGCTGCCCTGTAGAAACATAAGATGAACATATGTGTAATTTTAGAGTGTCTAGTAGCCACCATTTTAAAAAGTAGAAACAGGCGAAATAAATTTTATGAGTAAATTTTATTTAGCCAAACATATCCAAAATAGTATCATTTCAACAGGTAATCAATACAAATGTGTTAATGTGCTGTTTCACATGACATTTCCACACTGAGTCTTTGAAACGTGGCACACTTTTACCCTTAGGGTACCTCTCAGCTTGGACTAGCCCCCAGGGGCCGCTGGCGCCACACTGGACAGTGGAATTTAGGCTCTTAGACTAGAAAACCAGATGCTCTGTTAATCTCCATAATTAACAAAGCAATTTAAGTAATAAAACTACCAATCTCTGAGTCTTTCTTATGGCCAAGTACTACGCCAAATGCTGAGCACAGCTATGCCATTTGGTCCTAGAAATAGTGTCTTGTTCTAAGTCATATTTAGAATAAATGAGAGCTCAGGGAGGGCAGGCACAGAGGCGCAGATGGTGCACTCCAGGGCTCTAAGGAATGCCGCTTCTGTGCACTACAAGGTGGGTTGTTCTTTCCAAAGCTCTGCAGTGTGTAACCAGCACTGTGGTGCACAGAAGGCCTGAGGGAGATGCATAAGGGCTTTGGAGTCAGAATTGGATCCAAGTCCCAATCCTACCATTTACTAGCTGGATGGTCTTGGACAAGACGCTTAATTTCTTTGTCTTAGTTTCCTTATATGTAAAATGGGAATAATAATACATTAGTACCTTCCTCATTGTGTTGGGAGGATGAGACGAGTACATAAAGGTCTTAAAACAGAGCCTAGGCAGAGTACTCTCTCAATAAATGTTAATTACCTTTCTTATTTCTATTACCTTAATGGCCCTCCAGGCGTCCGCAGAGCCCAGGTGGGAAGCTATTTGAATTAGCAGGTTCACTCATGCTTTCACCCATAAATATTTATTGACACCTGCTAAATGCCAGGCCCCAGGGACACAAGGTTAAATAAGACAGAACGTGACACACTCTCATGTCCCTTCCTGCTCTGACATTCTTTAGTCCTACTGGGGCTGGACAGAGACAAAATTGGGCAGTAGGTGGGCTTTTCGGGAGCCTCATTCCCCTCCCATTCCTGTCCCTCGGGCTGCCCGGATCTCACATTGCCTGAGAAAAGTGCTCAAACGCAGCCCCAAGACTACCGAACACCTTCCTTGGGGATATACTCGCTTAGAAGATAAGCTTGGATAAGCTTACAACACACAGCGCCCGCTAACGCTGCCCCCAAGTTAGCACACTGGGATGGACCCTCCCTTGCCAGCACCCTCAGGTCACAGTACTGGGGCTGCCTGTTGCACGTGCTCAGGACTTCCTCCTTTTATTCAGCAAACACTGCAGTTTCTGTCATGGACCAGGCTTTGGACTAGGCCTGGAATTACAAAAACAAGACACAGTCCCAACCCCCAAGACACTGACAGGTCTGCACTGTGGCAAGTGCTGGCGAGAGAGCAGCTCCAGTAGAGCAGACAGAATGCAGTGTGGGCCCCGGGCTGCCCCCGAATCCTTAGACCTGCACCGTCCGATTCTGTAGCCACCAGCTACATGCAACTGCTTAAACATAAGTCCAGTTAAATTGGAAACTCAGCCTCTCAGCCCCACCAGACACATTTCCAGGGCTTAGCAGTTGCATGAGACTGGTGGCTGCTGTTAGGGGCGGTGCAGACGCTGAGCTCGCAGGTCATCACGGAAAGTGCTACCTTCAGCCATAAACACTTGGCTTCCATCTGTTTTTTGCAGATCAGCGAGCTTGTCGGCAGTGAAATAAAGCTCACGGAAACGACTTGTCTGGCAAATATGCTGGAAATTGGATTCGGCAAATTCATTGACAAGTAAGGCGCCTCCCTTCCTTCAGGAAGTGCTTTGGTCAGAGTACCGGTAATTGCCACCTGAGGACTGGCCTCAGGGCAGGCTGGCTGCTCCTGACTCCCTGCAGCGGAGCTCTCAGGAGCTGGCCACAGGAGAAGCTTTCATTTCATTGATTAGAAAATGGAATCAGAAATTTTAGTTCAAAGAGAAATTTATTTTTAAAAGTTCTTTGAAGCAGAGCTCCGAGCCCAGCTCTCTCTCAGTAACTTTGGGTACAACCATTAACCTTTCTGGGCCTCAGTTTCCTCTTCTTTAAACAAAAAGCAACAACAAACAGAAGTGGCTGTCTGCCCTCTAAAAGTCCATGAAATGTGGTCACATGGGAGATGTCTCCAAATGCCCCTGGATTTTGGGAGTGAGAACTTGTGCTATGTGAATTGCTATTTTTAGGACCAGAGACTCTCAGGACCCCGGCTGTGCTTCCACACTTCCTTCAGGGCGATGGGTGGGGAGGTGCTGCATTGCCTGGGAGGGAGAAGACTGTTGGCTGTGTTTCGGTCTAGCTTGCATGCATGGTTCTCAGAATGTAACCCTAGACCAGGTGCGTTGACAGGACCTGGGAACTTGTTAGGAATGCACATTCTCAGGCCCACCCCAATCTGCTGAATCAGAAATCCGGGGGGCGGGCTCCAAAGTCTTTTCTTTTCACCAGTTGAGGTCAGCGCTGTCCATTGGGGGAGCCACTAGCCACATGTAGCTATTGAGCCCTTGAAATGTTGCGATTCTGAATTAGATGTGCTGGGAATGTAAAATACTGACTGGGGAGCAGACTGCTTAAGAAAGAAAGGGCAAACTATCTAATAATTTTTAATATAGATTATGTGCTAAAAGGATAATATTTAGATATATTGAGTTAAAGAAAATTCATTTTTAAAATTAATTTGTTTCTTTATACTTTTTACGAATGTGGCTACTAGAAAGTTTAAAGTGACATATGTGTGGCTCACATTGTTTTTGAAATGGGCATGGCTACTCCAGGGAATTCTGACGCATGCTGGGGTTTGGGAGCCTCTCCCTGACGCACAGCAGACCAATCTGGAGCGCTTCCAGGCCCCCAAATCTCTCTGCCACCTGAATGCTCCAATGCCCTGTCAATGTCAGTGTAAGAGTTTATTATAAGAGTTTATTAGAGTTTATTTGAGCAAGTTCTCAACAGATTGAGAAAATCCTTCCCAGAATGACAGTTTGCAGCTGCTTTTGTGCATCTGGAACTAAGGAGGGAACTAAGGAATTAAGGAGGGAGGTGGGAGACAGCAGAGTGGGGGTCAGATTACGGGACAGTTCAGATTATGCTGTTTTGAGGGTGGTTTCACTTGAGGGGTCTGAAAAGGAACATTTCAAAGGTGTGTTAACCTAGGCGCACAGAAACAATGGGCAGGGCTTTCTTAAAGCGAAGAGAGACTTTCACTAAAGAAGTTACAGGCCTGGGGCATGACTACCCACCGTGACCTGCCCAGCTAGGAATGTATGGTCCCATCACCTGTGAGGTGACTCTCAGTCACTGGATTTGCCCAGTTTGTTGCAGATCCCCCAGGACCGCGGTTACTGTCCTTTAAGGAGAAGGCCTGGAGACACGCGTGTTTCTACCAGGTCCAGCTCATTGTATAAAGGGTCTTACTTTCCCTCAGTAAAATTTTTCCAAGAAGTATCAGCTGTTGAACATTGATGCTGCACCAAGCACTTAGAAATATTAAACAACTCACCCATCACCACAACCTCATATCCTAGCTAATATTATTATTTGCATTTTATAGATGAAGAAATAAATCAACTAGAGAGAGTAAGTAACTGGCCACAGGTCACAACTAGTAACTGAAAGAACCAAGACTGCAGGTCAGTCTGGCTAGTTAAGCTTTACCCTTCACCGCTTGAAAAATAAGCCGGTTGAAGGAGTCAGAGGTAGAGCAAACACATGGCGACCCTGCCACTCTCATGCCAGCACTCGCGGCTGTGACACATCCAGATGTGTTGACAGCTGGGCACGCAATTCACCTCTGTGTGCCCGTCTCCTTGCCTGTAGAAGGGGGAGAGTAGTAGCAGCTGGGTGACTAGAGCCACTGCGAGGGTGGTGAGAGGCAGGCGTGTGAGCTGAATTCGCCTGCCCTCAGCTACTCTTCTTCCTGAGGTGTGAAGCTCCCGGGACGTCTTGTGAGGAAGGGCAGGGGAGAGAGACATATCAATCGGTTGCTTCCGGAATGAGCCCCAACTGGAGTGGGGAGAACCTGCAACTCAGGTATGCGCCCTTGACCGGGAATCGAACCCAAGACCTTCAGTCCGTGGGCTGATGCTCTAACCACTGAGCAAACCCGGTCAGGGCAGAAATTTATTTTTTCACAGTCCTGGGGGCTTGAAGTCCAAGATCAAAGTGTTGGCAAGATTAGCTTCTTCTGAGGCCTCTCTTCTTGGCCTACAGATGCCTGCCTTCTCCCTGTGTCTTCAATCCACATGGTCTTCCCTGGGTGTGTGTGTCTTAATCTCCTCTTCTTATAAGGACACCAGTCATATTGGGTTAGGACCCACTCTAGTAACCTCATTTTAACTTAACTACCTTGGTAAAGACTCTATATCCAAATAGAGTGCCTCACATTCTGAGGTCCTAGGGGCTGGGACTTCAACACATGATTTTTTAGGGGGACACAATTCAGCCCATAGCACAGCCCTAAATGCCACTAGTGCCGAGGGAAGAAACCCTGTAAAACATCTCCAATAGCCGGCAAATCTTAGAGTAGGATTTCAGTAAAACTAAGGGCTTTCTACGGCTTCTCCTAAGGCTGAGCTGAAATTCCTCCTTTGCCGTGTTTTCACTGCCTCCCCCTGTGGGCATGACTGTCTCTACTTTCAGACTGGAGCCCATTGGAGCAGCTGCCAGTAAAGAATACTCTCTGGAGAGAAACCTGGAGAAGATGAAGTTAGACTGGGTTAACATGACATTCAGCTTCGCCAAGTACAGGGACACTGTGAGTCTCAGCCCAAGTGGGCGGCCCCAGAGCAGCCAGGCTGTGATGTAGTAGAGAACAGAGGAGTCCATTCAGAAATGCGGCAGAACTCACAGAAGGATCCCTAACATCTTTTAAAAAATTATTTGAGACGTGACTGACACATATCTATTGTACACTGTGTGGATATGATGTGTTTATCTGTTGCACTATTACCACCCTAGTATCACCTAACTGTCTATTACATCACACAATTATAATTTCTTTTTTGTGGTGGGACCAATTAAGATCTAGTCTCTTAGCAGCTTTGAAGGCTTTACTACAGTGTTATTGACTGTAATTACTGTGCTGTGCATTCAACCATTTCCTGCCGGCTGCCTGCCTGTGCCAGTTATCCTTCCTCCCGGCACCACTGGAGGGATGCATTTTCTCGTTGTTGTTTTTTTAAATTTTATTATGTAAGGAGGAATGCATTTTCAAATGAGAAATGCCTTTTGATTCAGAGCAACAAGCTTTCTCAGTGCAAAGGGGATGAGCAAACCTCCTGAATTAGCATCTCCCAGGGAAGGCCCCCCAGATATCTCAAGAAGCATACCTGGGGAAAACAATACTTAGTGCTTCTCAAAAACAATCCCAGTTCTTCCTCACTCCTTCACCCCCAAAATGCCTGGGCATCTGTATTTTTAAGGCACCCCTGGTCTTTCTAATGTGCAATGCGGATTGAGAACGAAAACCCTAAAGGCACCCATATCCCCCTCTTCCCCGAGGCTGTATGTGATCTTTTTTGTGACTTCTCTCCCCCTTCAGTTTCAATAGTCACAATGCCTTGGTTTCACTTCGATAAGAACTATAGATGAACCAATGGCAGGGGGAGAATTTGGGGTCTCTTGCAGCACAACCAGGCACATGGGTCCCAGCAGATTGGTGCCGCACTGTCTGACTGGAGGAGATGCTCCTGGAGGCTGTGGGCTGAGAAGTGGACCTGGGGATGAGAGCTTAGTTACTCTCGGCCAGTCTTCAGTGTTTGACGCAACTGTAGACTAGGACCAACAGCAAAAAGGAATCAAAGCACCACTTTATTAAGGGTTAGACACACCTTCCAGTGCCGAGCTACTAGTAAAAGGTAGATAGATGAGAAAACATATCCTCGCCCCCATTTAACCACCCAGATGTAGGTTTGGGGGAAGTGAGAACAGAGTGGGAAAGACCAGGCCTGCCACAGAGGACAACCCTTGTCAGCCTCCTTGCCAGGGTGGCCTAGGAGGAAAAGTGTCATGCACAGGCCTGACCTTTAAGTCACAGTAACCTGACCCCACTAGTAACCTGTGGCTCAGTAAGTGTATCGGCAGAGGTTCCCACACTTTCTTGGTTGTCGTCGCCTTTTGTGTCGAGTACTTTTTCATTGTTCCCAACTCCGTAGACCAAAAGAAATAGCTCACAGCTCTGTTTTTGAAGCAATTAGGTTCAACCAGTAAGTATTTGTGTCCTATCAGCTTAACAACTGTTTGAAAAAATACATAGAAATTGAAAGAAACACTTTGTATTTCATTTTTAAACAACCACAGTAATTTACTGTGAGTTTGCTGCGGAGCCCTGGGCACCTCAGCACACAGTCTGAGGACGGCCAGCCTCAGCCCAGCCAGTCAGATGGGCAGCGGCTCCTGCCTGAGAGAGACCAGGAGAGCCAGCGTCAGGAAGTAGGTACACGGGCAAGGGCAGAACTCTCCGTCCCCATGGCAGATACCAGCTGCAGGCCTGGGCCTAGGCCATTTCTGCAAAGAAGGCGGAAAATATGTGTCTTTAAGAACATTTTTAAGGTAGGAAATAGAAATTCCATACCCTGTAAGACACAGATTCCTGTCCCACTGAGGTGGAGATCTGAGCCCTACTGTCTTTGGGTATCAGCATGAAAAGTGGGAATGGTGATTCTGATGGGGTGAGGTGTGTTTATTTGCAGGATACAAACATCCTGTGTGCAGTTGATGACATTCAGCTGCTCCTCGATGATCACGTGATAAAGACCCAGACCATGTGCGGCTCCCCATTCATCAAACCGATCGAAGCAGAATGCCGGGTAAGAGGAAACGGGGCTAAGTGTTTTGTGACATCCGGTTAGCTCTTGGTTTCTCGGAGGAGGGAGAAGGTTTTTAAGTTCATTTAACAAACACACTCATTTTCTCCTGATTGCAAAAAAAGTAACACAAGACTAAAAGCAAAATAACCATCCAAGTAAGCATATTGCATGCTGAGCCTTTGCAAGTATGACTAAAGAAAATATGAGACGGTTTGAATGTACCAAATAGAAGGACATTTGGAAAGTATGTGAATATCACCAGGCTAGAGTAATCTAGAATGCAAACTACTCAAGGGGAAGGGCTTGGCCTCATTGGGTCATTGTTCATAGAAGTGGCATAGGCTAAGGGCAAAGATTCTGAAGCCAGACTGCCTGGGTTCAAATTCTGGCTCCGCTGCTTGTGAGTTAACCTTGGGCAAGTTACTTAAACTGCTGGGTCTCAGTTTCTGCATTTGTCAAGTGTGATGTATAAATAGTATTTCCATGATAAGCCTATTGGATTAAATTGGTTTCACATACATGAAGCGCTCAGCCCATCACTTGTTCTAGTAATAAGAATGATATATAATAATTATTATAACATATAATAATTATTGCTGTTGTTACTATTATTGCACCAGAACGCAACCTCCATGAGGGCAAGGACTTGCTTGTTCCATACGTTGCTCAGAACAGTGACCAGAACATAAGGGGCACTCTAAGTATCTGTTAAACAAGGGGCTGAGTGAATAGATAGGTGTGGGATGCAGAGCGGCAAGTTAATGATTCAGATACAAAATGCTAAATTTGCAGAAGTGGGAAGAAAAGCTAGTCCGCGTGCAGGACATTTTGGACTCCTGGTTGAAATGCCAAGCCACCTGGCTGTACCTGGAACCGATCTTCAGTTCAGAGGACATCATAGCCCAGATGCCAGAAGAGGGCAAGAAATTTACCATCGTTGATAGTTACTGGAAATCCCTCATGTCCCAAGCGGTAAGCTTTCCCCTCCCAGCACATCTCACCAGCAGGAGCGTGGGCTGCCATACAGATGTTCTTTGCTGTGCGTCATAGCCCTTGAAACTTGTAAGTAAACTAGACTGTTGCAAATTTGATATTATTGTATATTTCTTCCAATTTCAAAAGCTGTTATTAAAAATTCAAACATGGATATATGTAATATGGAAAGTGGAGGCCTGTGAAATCCCACCTCCCTAGAGGTAAGTACTAACAGTTTGTATAATTTAGCTGTCATTCTAGTGAGGTAGAAGGCTATTTATTACAGGGTAAAGCAATAAAAGTTTTATAGATTGAGAATCCTTTCAGAATTCAGATGATTATCCATCTTCAGTTATGTAGATTTAAAAAAAATGTTTATTCGGTACCTACGATGACCCAGACGTTGTACTAGGAGTCAAAAAACACTTGAAGATGACAAGAATATATCTGACTTCACAGAATTCACTGTTTTGTGAGGAGACAGACTTAGATACATAGGAGCTATAATAGAAGTATATGCAAAAGGGTTCTAGAACACAGAAAAATGATTTATTAGCCTGGGGGTGTCAAAGAAGGCCTCTGAAGGGGGTAACACTGGAATCAGGCCTCAAGGTATGAGTTCACTGGGCATCCAGGCATCCAGTGTACCTATTAATAAATGATATTTTTTCCTTTTTGGAGTCAAGTGTGCTCAAATTGGGGTGCATTTATAAAGAATTTGTCTCAAGGGAACCAATCTGCCCTGGTTGTTTGTAGGAATGCAATCGGTGGTGATTTATGTCACTCGGCCATCAGAGCCTGTTTGCGTGATATTCTGCATCCTCCAACTTCTTATGGGCTAAGATTTTTGGTTGCAAGTAACAGAAACCCACTTGAGGTAGCTCAAACGAAAAGACCAAATGGGTGTCTCATGGAAGTCAAGGGCAGAAAGTGTACAAAGGATGGCTCTAGAACCCAGCAACCCCCCAGGAAGTCACGGAGCACTCTTTCTATGCCTGCTTCCACCTCTCTTGCAGACTGGCTTGCTCTGCCTCTCAGTCACATCGTGGAAGATAATCTTCACACAGCAGCAAAGCCCCCTCCTTCAAGGGGCCAGCCCAGATTGGTATAGAGTGTCATATCTGAATTCCCAAATCCCAAGAGTTAAAATATAGTTGGCGTGATTGGTTTCAGGTGCCCAACCCTGGCCCAGTCAACCATGGCCAGAGGAGCAGGATCATGAGCATTCACCCTTGTGGGGTCAGGAGACACTTAGCCGGACAGGGCATCATTAGTTGATGTGCTGGTCATACACTCATATAACGCCCACTCTCAGAATCTGGGAACCCCATGATGATTCTCACCTTTTTTGATGGAACCTAGGTGAAAGATGCCAGGGTTCTGATGGCAGCAGACCAGCCACGGATGTCTGAGAAGCTTCAAGAAGCTAACGCTCTGTTGGAGGACATCCAGAGGGGCCTGAATGATTACTTAGAGAAGAAGAGGCTATTTTTCCCCAGGTATTCATTATTGTCCTTCAGTTTGGAGTTGCCTTCTTGATCCATATATAGGTAGAATTAAAGTTTTCATACTGAGAGTCAGCTTCTATCAATCTCTTCCACATTCTTTCCTGCTTTCTCATTTCCCAAGAGACAGCTCTGGGGGTAAGGCATGTCTTCATGACTGTTATTTAGAGTGAGGGTGAATGGACACCAGTGTGGACCAAATCCACACTTTGGCCAACCAACATGGTCAAATACCCAATTAGAAGGGTATGGTAGTCACGATTAAGGACCTGGACTTTGGAGTTAAACAGACGTAGGTTTGAGTCCCAGCTCTTCCACTTATTAATCCATCCAAGCCTCGGGTTCTCCACTATAAAGTGGAGATACAATAATGGCCCCTACTAGTATGTTTGTTGTGCATATCAAATGAGATAATGCATATGAAGCATTTAGCATCTAGACTGTGAAATGTCAGCTGATTTTTTTTGCCATCAAACTTTGTAGTTCCTGGTAGGTATGTTTATAAATATTTGACTCTGTTTTCCACAAGAACCAATGTTCTTCTGCATAAAGGTCAAGGTAGTTTTAGAGGGCTAGTTCCAGAAAGGAGGGCCTTTACGCTGATAATCTATCCATTCTAGTTGACCACGGAAGGTCACTCCATGTCATTGGATTCTAATTAGGATGCAGGCTAGATCCTAACTTGCCTTTAAGGAAAGTATGCTTTATTGTTCCCCTTTATGAAAACAAAGTTAGTTCTCTGCTTTCCGCCCAAAAAAGTAGGTCGCTTGGAATTTCAAAATGTCCTTAGTAGCGATTTAATGCAGTATTGTCCAGTAGAACTTTCCTCAATGATAGAAATGTTCCATCTATATTTGTGCTGTCCAGTGTAGTAGCCATGAGCTGCATGTAGCTATCCAGCACTTTAAATGTGGCTAATGTAACTGAGAAGGCAATTTTTAATTTATTTAGTATTTATTTTTTAAATATAAATAGCCACAGGTGGCTAATGTCTATAGTATTAGACAACACAGATACAGCACAAGTAGTGGAAGGAACCTCGATTTGAAAGCACAAAACTTGAGCAGAGGACACTTCTGAGATCTGGACTTTGAGCCCTGTACCCATAACTGTCACTCCTCATAAAAATGCAAACACAGCCAACACCAACACAGCATTTACCACGTGTTCTGAGTGCTTTGCATGTGTTCACTTGGAAGCATTATTTTTATCTCCATTTTATAAATGAGGAAACAATAACTTGCCAAAAAACACAAGACTGGTAAGTAGACAAGCTAGAATTCAAATCCAGATTGTCTGGATGGAGATATTTAACCCCTCTGGGCCTCATTTTTTTTCTAAGTTAAACACACACGTACATCTCAATATTTCTTTACGCTTTTTTGTGGAATAAAATTAAGCACTCTCAGCAAACACTTTAAAAATGTTACTGATAGTCGCATATTTTAAATTAATTTTGTCTTAAAAATGCAGAGTATGAAATAATGATTTTAATTTTAAATTACACAAATATATTAAGTGTTCCTCTTATGGCCACCGACCATTATTCATTATCACACATGATGAATCTATAGAAATGACCTGTATGATTTCACTTGGGAGTGGGAGAAATTGACATTCTCATTAGGCATCAGTCAGTCAGTCAGCCAACAAATAATTACTGAGCTCTTCCTACCTGCTCAACACTACGGCTACAGTATATTACCTTGCTTTGCTGCATACTAAACCACCCCCCAAAACTTAGAAGCTTAAAACAGCAACTGTTTATTTAGTTCCTAATTCTGTGAATTGGCAAATTGGGGTGGGTTCAGCTGGGTGGTTCTTCTGGTCTCATCAGAGCTCACTCATGTGACTACAGTTAGCCGGTACCTGATGGCTGCAATTACTTGTATGGTGGTTGCCTTCCTGTTGGCTGGGGCAACAGAGGTAGTTGGGCCACATGTCTTTCAGCCTGCTGAAGGCTAGCTTGGGTTTATTCACATGGTGGTGGTCACAGTGTTCCCAAGACCAGCAAGAGTGGAAGCTTCAAGGCCTCTTGATGTCTAGGCTTTGAACTTGCACAAACTGATGTTTGTCAGTCTATTGGCCAAAGTAGGACATACAGCCAGCCCAGGTTCCAGAGATGTGAAAATAGATTCCACCTCTTGATGAGATTAGATGCAAATACTGTGGCCATTTTTGTAATCCATCATATATAGTGAAGACCATAATCATATGGTCCCTTCATTATGGAACTTTCAGCCTAGTGGTCACAGTAGAGGTTTGTTCCTTGAACATTTTCTGAAGGTTTGTTGCGGCTGCCTTGAGGGCCTAAGCAAGAGAATGAAGCTATCTTATTATGTGTAATTAAAACAAGGCACAGGCCTCTGCATGTAAATAAGTTCATTATTAACGCTCACCGGTCATGAGTAGACACGTGTTTCTGTGTCCGAACGCTGGTCATGAGTTAACTCGTGTCTGCACTTACATTAATTTAAGTAATTTTAAACACCTTGCTAGACTGGTCACGAGTATTCAAGTGCAGAAAAGTAGCCAGCCGCATGGACGAGTTCTGGCTCGAAATGACCGGTCGGCAAGGTGTTAACATGTGCTTCTTATTTGATACCTGTCTTACCTCTGTTATACCTGGAGACAAGGAAAGAAAAGAAAGTCGTCTCTCTTTCCTTCTCCTGAGTGGTTCTTAACACTGACTGAACATTAGAATCACCTGGGATTTTTATTTTTATTTTTTAATTGAATTTATTGGGGTAACATTGGTTAATAAAATGATACAGATTTCAGGTATACAATTCTATAATACATCATCTGTGTATTTTACTGTGTGTTCACCACCCAAAGTCAAGTCTCCTGCCATCACCATTATCCCCCCTTTACAACCTCTTCTGCCTGCCCCTACCTGGGATTTAAAAAAATACAAATCCCCAGACCCCACCCCAGATCAATTATATATGAATCTTTGGGCAGTAGAATCTTGGCACTGGAATTTTAAAAATAAGGTCAGCAAGTGATTCTGAAGTGCAGTCAAGGTTGAGAACCACTGCTCTATTCAGTTTTCTTTCAAAAGGAAGCCCCCCA